TTCTATCACTCTTTCTGAATTATATCACTCTCTGACTTCTATCACTTTTTCTGACTCATATCACTCTTTCTGACTCCTATCACACTTTCTGACTCTTATCACTCTTTCTGACTTCTATCATTATTTCTGACTCCTGTCATTCTTTCTGATTTCTATCACTCTTTCTGAATTATATCACTCTCTGACTTATATCACTCTTTCTGACTTCTATCACGCTTTATGACACCTATCACTCTTTCTGACTCCTATCACTCTTTCTGACTCCTATCACTCTCTCTGACTTATATCACTATTTCTGACTTCTATCACTCTGACTCATATCACTCTCTCTGAATTCTATCACTCTTTCTGACTCCTATCACTCTTTCTGACTTCTATCACTCTTTCTGAATTATATCACTCTCTGACTTCTATCACTTTTTCTGACTCATATCACTCTTTCTGACTCCTATCACTCTTTCCTCTCTATCACTCTTTCTGACTTCTATCACTCTTTCTGACTTATATCACTCTTTCTGACTTCTGTCACTCTCTCTGACTTCTATCACTCTTTCTGACTTCTGTCACTCTTTCTGACTTCTATCACTCTTTCTGACTTCAATCACTCTTTTTGACTTCTATCACTGACTTCTATCACTCTTTCTGACTTCTATCACTCTTTCTGACTTCTATCACTCTTTCTGACTTATATCACAGTTTCTGACTTCTTCTCTGTCCAGCGGGGCTGCTGAGCCCCTCCACAGTCACAAAGCACTCACAGGAGGACACACGTCACTCTAGCCTCACACCAGTAACAAGCTGCACATAATGTCAGACAGTTTTATGATTTTATAATGTAGGCCTAAAATGAGCTTCAGCTCCTTGAAAGACCAGCATCCACCACTGCAGCAGGGCTCCTCAACGTAGGGCTCAGGACTCCTCTGTGGGTCATAAAACATCAAGTGAGGGTCCTGAGATGATTTCCAGACATCAGTATCAGCTAATAAACTGCTAATGGGATATTTTATATTTTAATTGACTTAAGTCAGTTTAGTGGAGCCAGTTTGGTTAGGTAAATTCAACACTTCTTTTCTTAGAGTGTAAGTCAAAATATTTTTATTTTTATTTTTCTGATTACTGTGAGCAGTTTTATGACTTTTACTTAGTAAAAGTCATTTTATTTTAAGGTATTTTTACATTTACTTTGTTATTTCTTTCAAGTACTTTATATACTTCTAATAACTATAGCCAAAAATCAAATAACTATAAAGAACAAAAGTAGTATCATATTTATCAGGTTTGTTTATATTGTTATTATGCCCACGTTCAACAGTAATTCTGGAGTTTCTGACCGTCATCTTGTGGGCCAGAAATTAAAAAGTTTGAAAGCCACTTCAAATGTTTTCAGTTTTTACTTTCTTATTCAGTTTATAAATCAAAATTGGTCATTTTTTTACCCAGTTTGTCTTTTAATTCTAGAAGACGTTTCTCTCAAATCTCACTTGGTAAATTACATTTATCAGAGTTTGAGTTTTAATTTGTCACGTCTTCATTAAACATTTTAGACACTCTTTGTTTTTCCTGTCTTCAGGTGCGTTACACACAGCTGGTGCGGCAGAAGAGGCGGAGACCGGCAGGTTGCGGTATCGGAAGTGCTTGGCGTGGCACCGGCAGCGTCACGGAGAGCCGCCTGGGCGCCCGCGGTGGCTCCAGGAGGTCCGGCTACGCCTTCGCCCACCAAGAAGGCTTCGGAGAGCTGATCACGTCAGGGAAAAACATGAGGCACTCCTCGCTGGGCCTGGTCAGCTTCGCTTCCAGGCACAGCTCCAGCTGGATGGAGACCCTCCGCAGGAAGAAGAACCCTCCCAACGCCTCTGGGGACTGCAGCCCGGCGCCCAGTCACGCCTCCGACAGGGTTCCACCGCTTTCAAACTCCTCCTCTGTCCTGGGCGGCTCGCAGGAGGAGACGGTCACTGAGGCCGATCAGAACATTCAGAGTGTCCCCGCTTCTCTCTCACAGCTGGAGGCCTCTGCTGAAAACCTCACCTGTGCTCCTGTCAGGCCTCAGACAGACTCACCTGGAGGCTGGATACTCACGCTGGAGACTGTGCAGGTCTGCTAAATCCTGTTTGAACTTCAGATAAACACAAAACGCTACGGCTGAGCACTGCTAACAAACAATAACTGAGCTCTACCTGGTATTTCCTGCACACAAACAGCGTTTCAACCAGTGTTGTACCACAAATACTTCAGTAAAAGTACAAGTATCTTATTACCAAAAACTGACTTTGGTAAAAGTTAAAGTGTCCTTTAGGAATCTTACTTGAGTAAAAGTGTTAAAGTATGTGATATTTGTTGTAGTTAAGTATTAAAAGTCAAAGTATTGATTTAAAATGAGCAGTTAGATTTTCTGTAAGGACATTTATTAGGAGGTGACCTCCCCAAAAAACATCACTTCAGATGTTATCATCCATTAAATGGACGTTATCAGGCGTTATCAGTCCCATAGAATGG